GGGACAGAGGTGTTGGAACTTTTGGTGCCCTTGGTTTCCCTGGCAGGGTGCTTTCCTTTAAGTGCTTCAGCAGTGTCAGCATCCCTGGGGGCAACTGTATCTTCACTGGTAATAATTCTGATTGCTCCCACTGTGTTGCCCTCTTCAATTTTCTTGCTCACCTGGACTCTTGATTTTCTCGCTGTTAGTGGAGTGAGTGGGGGTTCTGCCTCTCCCATTTTTGTATTGATGGGGAAGGCGACTGAGGTTATCAGCTCTAGGAAAGTCTCTTAAGTATCTTTCACCTTCTTTCTGGCATAGCTAAGCAGACATTGCCAAAAAGTAGCAAGCTGTGCCATGCCTTGATGGTTGGTGGAACATTTAGCATATTGGAACTCTCGCTCACTTTTTTTAAGAGGTCTGTAAGTTTCCCAGATGTGTGTGGAAGGGCTACTTTGGGAATATGTCTAAGTGTCCTGGTACCTGTTGCTTTAACTGATATCAAGATATTATCTGATGAGATGAGATCTGTTGGAGTGGGTTGAGGTGCCTGAAGTGGCTCTGGGTTATCACTTTCCACAGAAGGACATCCTGAGCAGGGCAGCTACCGTGCTTGCAGAGGAAACCATTAAAGTTGATACAACGAAGCTGTAAACACGACCGACACTTGTCCCTCCTAGTATTGCCAGCCGTGCCATTTCCCTGGCTGTTCGCTTCCTCCTGACTGGCATCCATCTGGATAGGTAGACTGTTGGAGTGGAGTACTACATGCTGGGTGGGTATGGTGCGCAGAAGGTAGTGAACGTGACTGTGGTGGCCTGGTAGAGCTTCAGGGGTGGTGCTGGGATTTGGGTGGGGGAGGCGCAGGTATTTGCGTGGGGGAGTCGCAGGTTGTTGGGTGGGGGTAGTTCGGGGAGAGGGGTGAGGGGAGTACACTACACGTGGACTTGCGCACTATATATTTTTCACATTGTCTTACAATACAGGCAACATTATTTGTTTCCCATGTATGTCATGAACAATGTGAGTATGTGCACTGCTGAACCCATGTGTTCCCTCACCACCTACACATAGCACCTCTTTCCCCTCCCCCTTGGCGTGGTCACTCCCTCGTTAACATTAACCCCACATTTTTTCCGTAACATACATACATTATATATATATATATATATATAATATATATATATATATATATATATATATATTATATATATATATATATATATATATATACTGTATATATATATATGTATATAGGGAGGTACCACCTCTAGAACTGTCATAGGGACCCTCATCCTCAGAGAAAAGAATAAACTTGCTTCAGGGAGAACTCAAGGTTCTCCCTGAAGCTGTTTGATAATTTTTTCCTACCACCCTCTATATTTCAAGTATGTTTTATTTAAAAACAAAATACATTGGCCAAATATTCACAAAAATACAACAGAAAGTAAAACAACATAGGTAACTCAGAGCTACATCTCGAATACTTCGTCCAGCTCCCCTGCGGTGGGCCGCATGCCCAGAATGCTACAGACATTTCCTCTCTGGATCGCAACACTGAGTCTCTGAAAGAGGAAGCTGGTCGCCCTGTGGTCCTTGGTTTCTATGATGAGCTTTTCACCCAGCTCTTTGAGGAACTTCAGAGCACACTTGCCCCATGTTCCAAGGGTCTCCGACCCTATTGGAATGAAGTTTTAGCAAGGGGGAAGGTCTTCATATTTGCGGATCTTCTGGGTCTCCCTGTGGCTGGCAGCTTCACCCCCTTCCACTACGGAGTATGGCAAGTAGGTGTCTGCCAATGTGGCGACACAGGTGTAATCCCAGGCAATCTGCTTTCCATCCTTCCAGGGTAGCATAGTGGCTCCATCAGGACGCTTTTGACTTCCATCAGACCTCTGCACTTGAGGTTCCCATTGGGCTGGGCAACAGACTGTGGTAAGGCTTCTCTTTATGATGTCGGTGACCTCCTCATGTCTGACATACTTCCATTCTGATGTGTGACACAGGAGACCACGAAGTCCGAATAGATCAGCCTTTGCCCTGCCGCAAATACACCTATGTTCGGTGAGGATGGGGGCAGCTAGGCGACGAGCAACACCAATCTGAATGGCCTGTGGGTCGAGTTGAATGCCCAGGGAGGAACTGGGAACAGCTAACAGGAAATCTCCTGAGTGTGGCGCCTTCACCGCTAGGAGACGAGCTTTGTCCTTTCTTGAAGCGTTGGTAAGCACTGTGTTGGTGATTTTTTTCCATGATTGGTTTGTCCCAGTGGGACTGTTTGTGCTCTTTGGGAGGAGCTGGTCTACTGGAGGAGTCTGCAAGGGTGTCCCACTGCATGGCTGCTTCAGTGAACCTTGGGTCTTGAGCTCCTACTGCATCTCTCAAGCGTTCGGGGACAATCTTCCTGACTAATTCACCGGAAGCCAAACACGAAGACAAATGCGTTGCTTTGCGCACCCCTATACCTCCCAGTCGCACTGGAAGGGTTGCCTGATCCCATTGCTGATCCTCTAGTGACAGATTCAGTGCCTTCTTAAAGGTTTATCTCAGGTGTGCGTCATATTCGTCGAGTGTTGGGTTGTCAAAAGAGGGTGTGCACCTCAGGAAGTGAGTCTCGGCTTAGTAAGACACCTTGTCAGGAGATACATGGGCATAAAGATCGCTTATTCTCTCCTCTATTCTCTTCAGGTCATTCAATTTGTCCTTTAGGACCGTGTCGATGCCTAGGTGACCCAGCGGTGCTCCCAAGAGGGCACTGTTGGATGGAGTGGTAGTAGAGACTTCTGGGAGAGTTGTTTGCACAGTAATGATTATTTCCTGGTTCGTTGTGGTGATTTCACCTTGGAGGGATTGGGGATGAGTCCCAAGGCCTCTCCCTGTGTCTTGACCAGTTGTAGATCCTCTAACAGGGACTCTTCACTACCTGCCAGAGTGCCATCATCCAGATACCAAATGTTGAGCTCGCTGTGTAGGCTGGAAGTTAGTTCTCTTACTGCCAAGTAAAAGAGAAGTGGAGCAAGTGGGGTCACCCTGCTGAACACCCTCTGATGAGGGAATTTCATGTTCGCCGAACAAAAGAATTGAGGGTTTGCTGTAGGCAGCTGAAATGAAGGGAAAACCCGATTCCGAACAGCCGGCAAGACCACATCTCTCTTCACCATATTAAATGCATTTCTAAAATCAAAGTTGACTATGGCCTTGTCTTCTGGTAGGTCCCTGATGTAGGCCCTTGCTGCATGAGCTGCGGCTTCATTGCCTTGAGAGACCCCAAATCCCAGTTGGTGTGGCTGGAGTAAACTGGCAGTTTCTAGGGCAATGTTTCTTACTGCTGCTTTGGCAACGAGATGGTGAAGAGTGTTACCAACAGCAATGGGTCTAATTCCTCCATCCTTCTTTTTCAAAGCACATAGTGAGGCTCCAAAAAAAAAAAAAAGTTTAATTTCTTCTGGGATTCGCCCAGCCAGGCAGTTGTTGACGACAGTTGTTAACTCGGTGAGAAGAATTGATGTAGATGCTCCGAGTACTGGATTCACCATCTCTTTGAGGTGTTGTGGTCGAATTCCAGTGTAACCTCCTGCAGATCCTGCTGGAAATGACACTATCGCCTTAGAGACTTCTGATTCTGGCAAAATTAATTGTTCAGTGATGGGGTCTTCCTCAGGGTTGTCGTTGATGGCTATGGTGTCCCTTGTTGGATGCTTGTCTCATAGTGCTTTGGCTGTGGTCTCATCTTTGGGAGGTACAGTGTCGTCAATTCCTGCAATGATGGGGCAAAGGCACACAATTATCCATTCTTGGGTAGTTGCGCACTGCCTTGATAACTGATGTGGTTAGCAGTTTGCCTCGTCTTTTAGGAACTGGAAGACAGACATTGCCGAACTGGAGTAGGTTGCCCCATGCTTTAATGGTGCCTCGGGTTTCTGGGTTGGTGGAACCTCCATTCACCTGCTTAAGAAGGTCTGTGCATTTCCCTGCTGCATATGGGCGAGCCGCTTTAGGGACGTGGCATAGGGTACTGCTAGCAGTGGATATGAATGCCAGCAGGCTGCCATTGGAATTGTCGTCTGTCTGTGGAGGCTGTGGGCTGTTCTCTGCTGGGGGCCTATGTGATCCCACACACCCATTGTGTGCACGAATAAGGTCATCCCTGTTGCGTGCTCGAAACTCTCCAAACACTTGACATGTGCCTCTTCTTCCGTGCCGAATATATAAAACTTCCTATTTTGCCTTAAATAACAAAATTTATGTATGCAGTAATTTCGTAAAAATCATTCTGGACCTAACGAAAACAATATATTTCATTGTTTGTTTATTAATAAATTATAGTAAATTTATCTAAAATATATATTTAGTTAGATTAGACAAAATTAAATTGTGATTCTTATAATAAGGTAAGGTAAGATTTCTGTGGTTCTTTTGGTCCAAAATTATTAATTTTTACATAAATATAAATGTACAAAACTATCTTCATACGTATAAGAGAAAATTTTAGAAAGATCTTAATTTTAAATGAGTTCTTGTTAATTGACCAATTTTGCCTCTTTGAATGATCATTTGATTGTGAATTGCACTGTTTAATATGTGAGGCTCCTTCTTTCCTGCTCTTGGATAATTTTTTTTCCTCTATGTAATATTTCTTTTACTAGCATTGTGGTAGATGACAAGTGAACCAAACCAAGCCAATCCCAGCCTAAATTCTGAAAGCAGAATTTGCCAAAAAAAAAAAAAAGATATATAATTATGTTTTCATTCCCGGGTCACTGTCACATACGTGACTGTCTAAGCCCCAGTCGAATTGTAAAAAAAAATGGGTCGTTTTTATTGGACTGAGGATGAAGCCTCCACTTCTCTATGCAACAACACACACGGTTTAATAGTTTACAGAGTTTTCAGTTAAAAATATTTTGATCTTCGAAATAACTTACCTAACAAAATTATTTAATATTTTTGTTAATTTATTCAACAATAAGCCGAAGTAGCACCCCCGATACTGACTATAATAAACATTACAGTTTACTTACGGTATTTTGGTGTTTTACCATCTTGGTGGAGTTGCTCCTGACGCTGCTCCAGCATCAGGTCCAGGAAGTCTCCACGCTTTATGCCTGACTCCTGCCTCAACTTCATCGTCTGTATGACCAAGTCACGAAAGAAGCAGCTGGCACGAGTGGTCAGATTTATGTTGAGGGCTTCGCGCACAAATTTAGGCAGGAGTAATACGGCCATTCCCCTTATCACTGACCGGACGTTGATTTTACTTATTTCAGCTACCATTTTTGAAAATTCTGCTTCCTCATTTTCAATGGAGTTGCATTCAATCCCGAAGGCGCAGGCAGCAATGACATCCATGACATAGCGAGAGAATGAAAACTTCATTTTTACAGAGACGTCCTTCTGGTGATGAATGTTCCTGAAATGTTGCACCAAGGCATCTGCCTTCTCTAAAACGAGGGGAAACATCTTGCGCATCTTCCCAGATGTAAATGTTGGCGTTACGACCGACCTGATACCCTTCCAGTGGTTGCCACTCACTATTATCAACATCTCCTTCAAGTACATATCCTTATCAGTAAGATCGATGATCCTACGATCGTGGAAATAGTCGAAATCCTGTACCATGACTCTCTTCACCAGCTCTGGGTTACTAACCAGTAATGATGGCTTAAGATCTGGCCCATATAACCCGCAATACCCTATGCCTTCGTACCAATGGTAAGTCTGTAAGGGTTAATGAGAAAAATTTCTGCATCACTATCAAAAATATGCTTTGTATCTGATACACAAAAACAATTATATGTACAGTAATACCTTATATCATACGGTTTTGTTATAATACGGATAATAAAGTTAATAATATAAATTTTATGTAACAGTATTACGCACCGATATTGAATTGCTGCTGTGTACCGGACTAGCGTGATGTCAGCATTAGTATCGCTCCAGACTCTGAGCAGTGAAGTTATGTAGTGTTTTACAGTACATACGTATGCACAACTATTTTCTGGATTATTATAAAGTACTGGTACCCCCTTTTATACTCAAATATGACTGCAAAGATAAAACCACATGAAGACGGTGCATCGTATGCTAAAACAGCATGTGACAAGAAAATGAACGAAGCATCGTTACTTGCACATACAGGAAATAAAGATAAAATAAAAGGACATGAAATGGCTACAGCATTTTATATGTCAAAATTGATTGCTGAAATTCGTACATCTGAAATGGATAACATGCAACGTCGTTTAGTGTTATGGACTGAAGACTGTAGCCAGAAAAGAATTTCATTAAGTCAGTTGATGAGTGAAGCTTAAGAAAAAAGTCTGTTCAATGTTAGGAAAGAAAACAGCAATGAAGCCGAAAGTTTTTTGGCAAGTCATGGCTAGTTTTACAACTTTAATAAGCGCCAGTGCAGACAGTGAGGCGGCTGCAAGATTTCCTAATGATCTAGAAAAATTGGCTGAAGAAAATGGCTACGAAGACGAACAATTTTTTAATGTAGATGAAACGGGTTGTTTTTGAAAGAAGATGCCTCCACACACTTATCTGGAGGAAAAGAATCATCACAACTAGATATAAAGTCTCTAATGACCATTCGCCTTTATTAGGAGGGAATGCATTTGGTGACTTTAAATTAACATTAGGCTGGTGTACAGAGCGGAAAATCGAGCCCTTGGATTTTCCTCTCTGTACACCAGCATTAAGGTTAATTTAAAGTCACCAGATACATTCCCACCTAATAAAAGCGAACGGCCTCTGGAGACTTTATATCCTGGTTGTGATGATTCTTTTTCCTCCAAATACATGTGTGACGGCATCTTCTCTCTAAACAACCTCTTGCTCGTCTTAGTAGCTATTTTCCTCAATCAGTTTTTTAGATCATTAGGAAATCTTGCAGCTGCTTCATTGTCTGCATTGGCGCTTTGACCAGTAATTCAAACATTATGGAGTCCCATACACTTCATAAAACGGCTGTTCCTGTGATATGGTGGCTAAATAAGGAAGCCTGGGTAACGAGACAGTTGTTTGGAGACTGGTTTGAAAATTATCATTGCACTGCAGTTGAACGTTATTGCAAAGATTCAGCCAGAGATCAGTGTTTGTGTATATTTCACCTGCTCTTGCGAATTCCTTGCATTGTTCAAATCTCTAGTAAGGCTGATGCATCCAGGGGATGAGATGAAAAGCTGTAAGCCTTCTCCCTGAAAGCTGGCTGCCTTGGATCAACGTCTAGCGCAAGCTGGACTCCAAGGTATTGGTCCAGTGTGGGTAGATTGGTAAAGCACTGCGTACTTGTTCCAAGGTTCGTAGGTTCGAGTCTCCTCCATATATATATATATATATATATATATATATATATATATATATATATATATATATATATATATATATATATATATATATTATTGTAACCACGAACGAGTGGTATTTAATCAATAACAACATTGCGACTTGCTGAGGATTCAAACCCATGTCATTTTGGCCCACCTCTTGATGAGTGAAAATCAAATGACATTCTAACCCATAGGACCATGCAATCCTACAAGAATCAAGCACCCAGCAGAGTTAGGTGTTTTACCTTGATCTGAGGACATACGGTGGTGTGGGTAGCTCTGAGGTCATTTAATTCTACTCCTCGCTTGGTGTACTAGCCCCGCGAGCAGTATTTATATATTTTTATACATTATATATTATTTATATATTTTTACATAATATTGTAACCACAAATGAGTGGTATTTAATCAATAGCAACAATGCGACTAGCCGAGAATTCGAACACATGTCGTTTTAGCCCGTCTCATTTTGAGCAAAAATCACATGACTCTCTACCCCATGGGATCATGCAATCCTACAAGAATCAAGCACCCAGTAGAGCTAGGTGTTTTAAGTTGATCCAAGGGCACACGGTGGTGTGAGTGCTTCTGAGCTAATTTTATTCTACTTCTCATTTGGTGTACTAGTCTCACGAGTAGTATATATATATATATATATATATATATATATTATATATATATATATATATATATATATATATATATATATTATATATATATATATATATATAATATATTATATATTTATTTTATATTATTATTATCAACACACGGCCGATTCCCCAAAGGCAGGGTGGCCGCAAAAAGAAAAACTTTCACCATCATTCACTCCATCACTGTCTTGCCAGAAGGGTGCTTTACACTACAGTTTTTTAAAACTGCAACATTATATATATATATATATATTATATATATATATATATATATATATATATATATATATATATTTTATATATATATATATATATATATATTATTGTAACCATGAAAGAGTGGTATTTAATCAATAATAACATTGCGATTAGCCGAGGATTCGAACCCATATCTTTTTGGCCCGCTACATGGTGACCGAAAATCACATGATACTCTAACCCACGGAACCATGCAATCCTACAAGAATCAAGCACCTCGCAGAGATAGGTGTTTTACCTTGATGCAAGGACATACTGTGGTGTGGATGCCTCTGAGCTAATTTCATTCTACTCCCAGTTTGGTGTACTTGCCTCACGAGCAGAATATATATCTTGTTGAAACCACGAACGAGTGGTATTTATTCAATAACAACTATGCAGTTACCCGAGGATTGGAACCCATGTCGTTTTGGCCCTCCTCATGGTGATCGATAATCACATGACGCTCTAACCCATGGGACCACGCGATTCTATAAGATTACCTTCATCATCATTTACTCCATCACTGTCTTGCCAGAGGCACTCTTGCATTAGAGTTATAAAACACGATCACTCATGCTTTCTGGAAGTCCTTGCCCCTTGCACACAAAACTACCTTCACCCCCTCCCTACAACCTTTCATAGGCCGACCCCTACCAACTTTCCCTCCACTACAGATTTATACACTCTCAAGGTCATTCTATTTTGTTCGACTCTCTCTACATGTCCAAGCCACCCCAACAACCCCTTCCTCAGCTCTCTGGAAAATAGTTTTGGTAATCCTGCACCTCTTCCTAATTTCAAAACTACGAATTCTCTGCATTATATTCACTCCAGACATTGCTCTCAGACATGACATCTCCACTGCCATCAGCCTTCTCCTTGTTGCAACATTCACACCCATGTTTCGCACCCATACAACAGCACTGGTATAACTATACTCTCATACATTACCCTCTTTTCTTCCATAGACAAAGTTCTTTGTCCCCACAGGCTTCTATATGCATCACTCACATTTTCTTCTAATCTTTCATAGACCCATCTGCTGACACATGCACTTTTAAATATCTGAATACATTCATCTCCTCCATACTCTCTCCCTCAAATCTGATGTCCAATCTTCCGTCAGCTATTTTTTTGGAAATAGTATAAAATACTGACACAATGGAAATATAAATACTTAAGCAGTATAATGTGAGACTTTATTGACAACGTTTCGTCCAAGCAGTAGGCTTTATCAAGTTACAAACAGATCTACCTGTGATAAATTAGACACATGTGCAACTCTTGGGTATCTTTATTAAGGAAACGTTTCGCCTAGGCTTCCATTCCATACAAAGGAGAAACGTGAAGAACAGGAGGAGAATGAGGTAATCAGTCCCTCAACCTCGAGTCGATGTGGTCAGTCCATCAATCTTGAATAGAATACGGCATATGAGCGGAGAAGCAGCTTATAAACCGTAGGCAGGAGAGGTGCAGCAGTTGTAGGTGGTGTCACATTTGCCCAATGTGGAAATAGGTCGTGCCCAAGGGTTAGGCAAGCGAAGAATTCCCAAGTATTAAGATACCCAAGAGTTGCACATGTGTCTAATTTATCAACGTGTCGGTTCTGTGGACCATTCATCTACAATCCTGTCAGACACTGCAACTTCTTGGGATCTTAATACTTGGGAATTCTTCGCTTGCCTAACCCTTGGGCACGACCTACTTCCACATTGGGCAAATGTGACACCACCTACAACTGCTGCACCTCTCCTGCCTACGGTTTATAAGCTGCTTCTCCGCTCATATGCCGTATTTTATTCAAGATTGATGGACTGACCACATCGACTCGAGGTTGAGGGACTGATTACCTCATTCTCCTCCTGTTCTTCACGTTTCTTCTTTGTATGGACTGAAGAAGGCTACTGTGTAGGCGAAACGTTTCCTTAATAAAGATACCCAAGAGTTGCACATGTGTCTAATTTATCAACGTGTCGGTTCTGTGAACCATTCATCTACAGATCTATCTGTGTAAAAGGTACGTGAGTATTTATAGGATGGCGTCAGAAGAGATTGTGTAAGTATATGAGCAGACCTCCTGCAGTGTTCCTCCATTCTTATGATTTTCTGTGGGATAGAGATGAAGTTTCTTGGCAAGGGGTTCAGCTATGTTATAGAAGCCGTTGTTCTAGAACATAAGAAAAAAGGAACACTGCCGCAGGCCTACTGGCCCATGCGAGGCAGGTTCAAGTCTCCTACTGGCTTAAGCCAATGCCACAACCTAGTTAGGTCAGGTCACATTCAGTTAAGGAAGGAGCACGGCATATGACCTAGTAGCACAAGCTAGTCAAGTCCAACTCACACCCACCTACACCCACTTATGTATTTATCTAACCTAATTTTAAAACTACACATAGATATTTTTAGCACGCTATTTACATCCCCTTTATTTATTCCTGTCTTCTATTTATGCACCTCAATCATATCACCCCTAATTCTACGCCTTTCTACA